TGCGCGTCACAATGCGCCTGTACGCCAGCGGACGGTGGATAGAAATGTATCGATCGATGGCGGTGAGGAACAGGCTTCCCACAGACGCGGTGAACGAGGCCGTCACGCCCCCTAACTTGAACAGAAACACGTTCGGACTGTCTTTGCGGTGAAAGACGTGAAAGTCCAAGAAACTGTAGACGAAGATCACGCTGCCAAGCAGGTCTGCGATGGCCAGGCTACCAATGAAATGGTAAGATGGCCTGCAGCGCAGGGTACGTGACTGCAGTATCACGCACAGGACCACCAGGTTCTCCAATACTGTAAAAGTCCCCAGCGTGAGAGACAACACGGCTATGGCGAGCTGTTGGCTAGGAGTCAGTATCATGAAGCATTCCATGTCCATAAAGTTCTCCCCGCACTGCAGACTGCTCCCTTCATCTCCGAGGCTGAAGTTCCCAAACACGTCAGAGCTGTTCGTGGGGTAAAAGGGCAAACCTTTTACGATGAGTTCCTCATCCGGTCCCACTTTATCTGCGAAAGAGCTTCTGCGGTAGGCTGCGAACGGCTTCGGCAGTGGGTATCCGCTTTTGGCGCTTTTGATGTGGTCATCATAGCCGACGTCGTTAGAACCAATGTACTGCAGTCCAGAAGTGATGGTTCTGAAGGTGGTTTCTGCCACTCCATCCAGAACGGATTTCACATCGGACTTGGAGGCAGGGAACAGCATGGTCACAGATGCGCTGAAGGAAACCTGTTGGATGAAATTGAGAGAATGTACGTTCAAATAAGACTGACATATAGAAGATTACAGAGAATACTGTGCTCTCAGAAGCTCAATCGATGCTGCACTGGGCACAGAAATAAATGCCCTCTCAGACGAGCCATCATCCGGCTCTTGTATTTTGCGCTTGTTGTTTTTCTTGCATGGATGGGCACCTAGGGATTATTACTCTAAGAGACAGGCTTTGAATAATTGATGCCGACATACTTAAACCTAAAACACCATATATACAGTTATAAAGCAGCGGGCAACCTAGACACAACCTTATATTGGTGAGAAAAACAGCTTCTTCTTTTTTTCAATCTCATATATTGACTCAACTGGAATAACTATCAATTAAAAGTATAACATATATATGATTTATAGTTAGAAATTCAAATATATGATAAACTCAGAATATAATAATAACTAATACCATTATAGGATAGTCTAGTATGCGACTTATATTTAACTGTAATGCACACTATCATCAGTGCGTTTTGAATCATTATTCGGCAAAAGAAGTTCAATTTAGGTTCAATTCCGTTTTTATATTTAGTATCGCAACATGCGTGTCAGAGAACTTCACAGCGATTCCTTTGGTATTTAATATGTAAGACCACTGCACTGCGAGACGCATTGTAGATTAAAACTGCTAACTTTTCTATTTGTGCTGAAATAAGCTAAGTTCACCTAAAGCGTTCTATAGCGTTATAATACCGCTGCAATTGAATTTAATAAAAGACGAAATGCATCAGGTTGCTAGAGTTGAGAAATGCCGTTTTTTACCTTCACATCGTTGGCGCAGGTGTTCCTCTCTGTGAACAGATGAGATGCTCTCCAGCTCCACCGCAGCCCGAGCACTGAGTGAGAGTTCTCAGGGTT